GGGGGGGGCGAAGCCGTTTCTTGGGCAGGGTGTGGTCACCCGTTAGTCACCAGCAGAAGCAGAGTCACGGCCTGAAGTTCAAAATAAGAGCTTTGCTAGGAGACCCTGCTGACTGCGGTGTCCCTGAGAGGTGAACCCAGCTACAGATGCCCAGTGTACCCCGAGAGCCCCAGGACTGTCTCAGAGCCTCTCAGGACCGTCCTAGGAGCCGGGGCCCCCTCCGCTCCCTGATGGGAGTAAATGTGCGAGCACACGGGGCACGCAGGGGGGAGCGGGAGGAGCGTGGAGCCTGCGTCTCTCGGTGTCCCCTTGCGGTCGGATTTGCAGGTGGCCTCAGCCCTAGGGCAGGACAGGGCGAGGACGGGGTCTTCTGGCCGAATGAGGGTCTTCAAGGAACAGGCAAAGGAAGCCAGACAGGCAGCTCCACACGGAACAGACGTAACCGCAGCCAGCCCCCACCCCGGTCTCAGGCCGCCCCCGACCCGAGCTTTATGGGACGTTCCAGTCCAGCAGCGGGTTTGGCAGGATAAGGGGCTCACTCCTGGGGACAAGCCAGAGGGTGTTGGTGGCTCCAGAGAGGTTGAGAAAAGGGGTTCGATCTGACTGTCCCAGCCAGGCCTGCAGCAGCGCCCACCCGGGATCAGGCCACCCCGTCCCCCACCCTCCCCCCTTAAACTGTGCTCCACCCAGGAGTGTCCCTGCGTCCGCACAGTCACCAGGTTGGGGGGAAGCCCCCTCCCGGTGGTCAGCCTGCCATCCATTGCCCAGCCGGGCTGGTGAATCCCAGCGTGTGTGCTGTGTGACCTGGCTGGTTCCCTGACCTCTCTGATCTTCCGTCTCTTCTGTAAAACAGAAGCTAGTCCCTCGCCCGTGTCTGTGGAGTTAACGCCACGAAGCCCCCACGCGTGGGGTGTGACGGGAAGCCTGGGGTGGGGGAAGGGCTGGGCTGGGGCACAGGGAGCGGGCCGGTGAGACCGGGCGGCCCAGCGGGCATCCCCTCCGCCTCTGCAGATCGCGGTGACCTTCGCCATCGTCCTCGGCGTGATCATCTACAGGATCTCCACCGCCGCCGCCTTGGCCATGAACTCCTCGCCCTCCGTGCGGTCCAACATCCGGGTCACGGTCACGGCCACGGCGGTCATCCTCAACCTGGTGGTCATCATCCTGCTGGACGAGGTCTACGGCTGCATCGCCCGCTGGCTCACGAGGATCGGTGAGCACGGCGCCCCGGCCG